CTCAGGTAAGAATCACTCACCATTTTCTCTCGTTACGGTAAATAAAAGTTTAATAATTAACAACGGTGTATTTTATAAAAATTAAAAATTCTTAAATTAATTACAGATCACCGGTAGAGGCAGAACTGGTTAGTATATATTTGTCATAGTTGTGTTGTCTATTTATCTTTATACTGCCTAAATTGCTATTATTTATTGATTTAAATTACTTTCTCATTCATTGATTGCTTGACTGATTATTCTCACCTATTGACTGATTCGAAGCAAATGCTCTAATCACGTTTTCTTAATTTTCGTATTGTCTATTTACATGACTAACTGTTGATCTCTAAATATGAAATATTGGTATGTAATGAGTAATTGGTCGATGATGTAGATATATTTATGAAAGGTTTATCGGGTACCTAAGAGAATGGTGTATGGGCCCGGTGCATAGAAAAAGCTCTACCATAAATATTATCTCAGTCGAACAGAGCTGAGAAATCCTATACCGAAAGGGGTTGTAATGTATATTTCACGTTCATACCGGACGGAGTATTGAGACACTGATATGTTTGGTGCCAATTGTCGAACGGGGTATAGAGGCGACTGGTTAAATAATAAATTGGATATTGCGTCCACACATAAAGGGGATCCTTATGAACCCCCAAAAATACTGGTATGGGGGATAAAAAGGTAAGTTTATTATTATTGTTCATTTAAATATGTAATAAAGTATTATATTGGGTATTATCTTCATAAATCGGTTTTGTAAATTCATAAGAATAAGTATGAAAATAACAGTTTTTATGCTAAATCAAATTTATTTAAAAAGAAATAATGGCTCCATTGGTTGTTTTACGATTTTTATTAACTTTTGATTTTTCGTATCGGTGTTAAACGTGATTTTCTTACTGAATTACTGCAGCTCATTCCCCTTATTTAACAATTTCATATTATAAATATCAATATCCAGATCCTAAACAATAAGAAGTTGCGAATAAAAGTTGTCTCCCGCATCCCATCAGAGTTGTCCAGTGGAGGTTAACTCTATAGGATTTTAGTGTGTTTCTTTTATTTATTTGTTCCGTTATTAAAACTTCCTTAAAGGGACATTCACGTAGCCATCTTCGGCATCCTGATTCATTGTATAAGGAATATAAGCCATAAACTCTTAATTACTTCCGTCATTATAATGTGTATTCATTTGCTTAAGATTTTGGGCCTTTACAGTTTGTATCAAAACTGCGTTCCTCGGAACTATTCCTTGCACAAAGATTAGAATCATTCAATATAACCCGACACTCAACTATTTCTTGTTGAATGCAGGTACAAAGATATGAGGAGAACAAAACATCCACTAAATAAAGCAGTCCGAGATGAGTCACTTCGATAGGATGTTGATCGGGTCTTCGAGATGCTAGAGAGATTTATCTATACCCAACAAACCTAAGAAGACAGGAGAGAGTTGTCTGACCATCTACTACTTCCACAGTATGAGCCACCCCTTACAATGAGAAGACCTAGTGGCTCATCGATATAACTCTGCTCCTCCACCGTATCATTTGACACTACTACTGTATAATTTGATGCCCTCACCATACAATCAGGTGCCGCCGCAAGGTCACCCGGCCCCTCCTCAATATAATCCAGTCCCTCTTCAACAGAACCCAATTCTACCCGTGATGGACCTAGACTACATTAAGAAGTATAAGAGACTTAACCCATCAACTTTTGTTGGGGCATCCACTTTTGAAGAAGTCGAGTACTAGTTAGCAGAGACAGAAAAGACATTTGCAACTCTTGAGGTGGTTTCCGAACAGAAGGTCATACTTGCTACCTACATGCTCGTGGGTGAGGCAGGTCGTTGGTGGTAGCTAAAGTAGGTCATCTTGCCCATTCCGGTCACTTGAGAACAGTTTCTAATAGCTTTCAATGCAGAGTTCCTCTCAAAGCACATTCAGCATTTGAAGGAGATGAAGTTTCCACACCTGGTTCAGAGTGAGATGACAGTGTCTGAGTATGTCTGAAAATTTCTCTTAAAAAATGATGGACGAAGACAGAAAAATAAAGAAGTCTAATTGAGGCTTCCGTTATGAGATCAGACAACAACTGTATGTATTCGAGCTCAACACTTATTCAATAGTTCTAGCCAAGACATAGTTAATAGAGAGGAACCTTCATATATTTCCTTCAATAGTGGGAAAATTCAGACCTCTAGTTGCACATTGCAGGCCAGCACCTACTGCATCGATTCAGTAGAACAAGAGACCTAGGTCTACGACTCAAACTCCTTCTCAGGTCCCAGCAACAAGACACGACAGGACTTACCACACTATGGTAAAGATAATGGGGACTGACCTACTATCGCTTTAATAATACATATCGCATACGTGAAAGTTCCCAACACTACACGAGAAAGTGATCATGGAATCAGAATCAGGTCAGACCTCTAATCCAGGGCAGAGCTTACACCTTCAACCAACAGGATACTGAAGCCAACTCGGACGTGATACATGGCAAACCTAAGAAAGAAATTTGTATTCAAGAGATTCATGTGGTCCAAGAATTTTCGAATGTATTTTCTGATGACCTATCCAAACTACCAATGGATAAGGAAGTTGAATCTACCATAGATCTTCAGCCTGACACCCAACTCATCCCAGTTGCCTCTTACTATATGAGTCATGTTAAAATAGAGAAACTGAAGAAATAGATTAAGGAATTGCAGGATAGTGGATTCATCCGACATAATATATCTTCTTGGGGTGTCGGAGTCACATTTGTAAGAAAAATGGACGGTCTCTAATGTTGTGTATTAATTACAGGAGGTTGAACATGGTTACAATCAAGAACAAGTATCCCCTCCCTATGATCAATGATCTTTTCAATCAGTTACAAGATACTAAGATTTTTTCCAAGATTAACTTGCGTTCAGGTTACCATCAAATAAAAATCATGGCAAAAGACATCCTCAAGGCGATATTCAGAACCCAGTACGGGCACTATGAGTTCCTGATTAACCAATACACTAATTATTTTTATAGACTTAATGAACAAAGTTTTCAGGGAGTTCTTATATCAGTTCATCATAGTATTTATTGATGATATCCTGTTCTATTAAAAAAGCAGAAAAAACACGTTCAGTATCTGACTCAGGTTTTACAGATTTTCTAAGAAAAGAAGTTATATGCAAAACTGATCAAGTATGACTTTTGGCTTGAACAAATTACTTTTCTAGGGCACATAATATCAAAGGATAAGGTTTTAGTAAATTTTGATAAGGTTGATGCATTAATGGGTTGGGAGAATTTGACTTCAGTTAAGGAGATTCGTAACTTTTTTAGGATGACAGGTTATTACTATAGGTTTGTGGAAGGGTTTTCAAGTCTAGCCACCCTCTTAATCTAGCTTATGAAGAAGAACGTCAAGTTTGAGTAGAATGATGATTGTGAAATGAGCTTTACAGAACTCAAAAAGCGGTTGATTACCGTGTCAGTTTTAGCTATACAGAATGGGAGAGGCAGATACACAGTATACAATAACGCTTTTTACCTAGGGTTGGACTGTGTTCTGATACATCACAGAAATGTCATAACCTATAGGTCTAGGTAATTGAAAAGTCATGAAAAGAATTACCCTATCCACGACTTGAAACTTGCTACTATTATCTATGCATTGAAGAACTGATGTCACTATTTGTATGAGGAGACTTTTAAAATTTATACAGACCGTAAGAGCTTGAAGCATATATTCACCCAGAAGGATCTCAACATGCGTCAGAGGCATTGGATAGAGTTCCTCAAGGACTACGATTGTAAGATCTTATATCACACAAGTAAGGACAATGTGGTAGCTGACGTGCTTAGTAGTGAAAGTGCAGATATGTTAGCTCGCATATTAATTTCTGAATGCATGGTAATAAAGATTGTGCAATAGATACAACTTTAGGATTTGAAAATGGCCACATACCTAACCCATCTAGTTGTTCAATTCGAACTGATTTAGAGAATAAAGAAAGTTCAACTGAATGATTCCACTATAACAACTATCATAAAGGATACAAAACATGGTGTAAATTCAAAATTATGAGTCTCTGCTGATAGGTTACTCAGGTTCTAGGACATGGTATGTGTTCCTAACGACAACGAACTAAAAATGGATATAATGACAGAGACTCACAGTTCAAAGTTCACCATGTATCCCGGAAGTACTGAGATATATCAAAATATACGACCTCGATTCTACTAGAGTGGGATAAAAAAGAAAATTATTGATTTCATCTCCAAGTGTCTTGTATGTCAGCAGGTTAATACAGAGCATCAACGCCCAAGTGAGCTACTTCAGTCATTGCGAACACCGGAGTGGAAATGAGAATATATCACTATGAATTTTGTAACCGGGTTGTATAAACACGCTTGGGGTATGATGAACTCTGAGTAATTATTGATCGACTCAGCAAATCTTCTCACTTTTTGGTCATCATAATGACCGACCCCTTAAACAATTTAGCAATAATCTATATCCAGTAGATAGTTAGTCTACATGGAGTTATGGTGACAATGGTATCAGATATGGACCCCAAGTTAATCTATTAATTTTGGTCAAGTTTTCAACAAGTAATGAGAATGAAACTATCCCTTAGCACAATATTCCACCTTCAAATAGATGGAAAATCAGAACGAACCATTTGCACACTGGAGTATATGCTCAGGTTCTGTGTTTTAGATTTCGGAGGGCATTGAGATGATCACCTACCCCTGATAGAGTTCACCTATAATAACAGTTATCAAATAAATATTGACATGGCTCCATATGAAATATTATACGGTCAACCCTGTAGATCATCGATCTGTTGGGAAGATATGGGTGATAGAAAATTGATTGATTTAGACCTTGTAGATAAAACAACAGCGAAGATAATTAAAATCAGGAAGAGCATCCAGACAGCTCAAAGTAGGCAGAAGAGTTATGCAGACACCCAAATGAGAGATTTAAAATTTGAGAAGGACGATCGAGTATTCTTTAAGGTCATCCCTTTTAAGGGTATCAGCAAGTTTAGAAAGAGGGAAAAATTAAACCCTAGTTCATCTGACCGTTTGAGATCTTGGACATGGTTGATACATCTGCCTACAGACTAGAACTATCTTCAGAGCTATTTAGAGTCCATAATGTATTTCATGTATCTATGCTATGAAAGTACAACTCAAACCCCTCACATATCTTGTCTCATGAGCCACTTTTACTTTAGGAAGATCTATTCTATGAGGAAGTACTAGTAGGTATTTTAGATAAAAAAAACAGAGTACTTCGCAACAGAAAAATTCCCTTTATCAAAGTCTAATGGCAGAATCACTCAAACGATGAGGCTACTTGGGAGTTAGAATCAGACTTCAAGAACCAGTACCCTCAACTGTTTGACTAGTGAGAGAGCGACAAATTTGAGAGACTAAATTTTTGAAGAGGGACAGAATTATAATACCCGAACTTGAAAATTTAGCTCGAGATAGTTTAATATATATGGAATAATAAATTAAAATAATTTTATTTTTATTTTTTTTAAGAAAATTGGGTTTTAGGATGCATTTGAAAATATTTTCAAAAATCAGGACCGAAGTAGAAATAAGGAAAGACCTATTTAAAAAGAAATCTGAAAAATTAAAGTAAAATTAAAATTAATAAAATTTTGGCCATGTGGACCGCCGCGTCGGCAGCGTGGCCAATCTCCGTGCGTCGCGTGTTGGACACGTGTACACGCGGGAGGTCACGCAAGCAATTCGCGTGCTAGCAAATCCAATGGTCCAGATCGCATCCTGTGCATACGGAGAATCTAGATCCGTGTTCTTCTCAGACAGAATCGAACAGTTGGATTTGATCAGATCGTGTGGTCCAGATTAATTTTTCAAATAAGAGCAATCCAACAGCTGAGGATGAGCCACATCTCCTCGAACGGA